GATAGAACAACGATGAGCTAATGCCCATAACTAGACAATTCGCACTCTGACGAAGATATAGGCCTCATCAAGAAGGGGGTAGACCTCTATCCTGCGGGTCTCGAAGAACTACAGGGGAAAAGCGCCTTGGGGGACCCCGCGTTCGCGCCAGGTCCGGGGGCAAGAGACCTGGCACACCGTATTTTTCTTTCTGTTCCCACGGAGGGGCCGGGGCCTTGCCTCCCCCTGACCAGGTTGACTTCTGTGCCACATTTCTTTGACCAGAACTCATGGACGGTCCTGGATCTTGACTCATGATGGCGTCTCCTTCCTCGACAGGAAGATTGCCTGCAACTAGCTTGTCCTCCACCCAGACAGAGGGCAACTTTCCGTCGAGGAACGAGGTGGCAATGCCAGGAATAGCGCGATTTCCGGGCACGTCGTAAGTGTGTGTATCAGGTCCAGTCTCATCTGTCGAAAGGCTTCCTGCACTATAGCCAGCTGGTTCGGCAGTGCCACCTCGTTCTGATATAATGCACAAACGACATAGGTGCTCGAGGCAGGGAAATTGTTGTGAGATCGGTAATAATGGTAAAGGTCCTTCACTTGACCCATCATCTTCCGGGCGTTTTCGTCACCTGCACATGGATCTAAGTCCGACTTCGACTGCGTCGACGCCGGCGGTAGCGACGGCTCCAATGGCAAAGGCGGGATATGAGCGAGAATAGCGCCGGATGGCGGATCAATCCTAGTCCTGATGAATTCATGGACGCCATGCGACCATGCAGTCAACAACGTACACACGCGGGCCAGCCCGCGGGCCCCTCCAATAGTAAACTCCGAGCCCAATCAACTCTGGTCACTCAAATGTGCTAAAAGGGGTCTGAGCAATGTAATGTTGAGAATGATTTAGTGCACGCCTGTTTGACGAGGCTTCTAGATGTTGTAAGTGTACCCCGTTATCCATTCATCGACTCGTTGGGGTGCGCAACATGCCTTGCCCCTAGATGGGATCTTAAATCGCGCTCGAGGAACGGGTCTTGGTCTATTAGGGGAGCCATATCTTCCGCTCTAGTTGATCCCAACACCACCCGCTGGGACCAGGATGTTGCGGAGCGACAGCTTTGTCGGTACATTGACTGCTTGGGCAGGGTCGCATCAGCAAGAAAGAGGCGCGGGAAGTGTGGACTGCGCCCTCCATCCTGCATCACACACTTGATCGTGGAGTACGCTAGCATTCGTCGCATGTGCGCTGCTCAATTTGGCAATACCCCTCCCTACCAGGCTATTCTCCCATGGTGTCCAAGAGTGTGCAAAGACATGGAAAGCCTCCCCGATATAAGAGCATGGCGAGCCACGAGGGCGATTCATCACAGACATAAGATCTCGGGAAGCAAGTGTGGATTTCTTCGAATTGACGTTCCCTACGACGTCTTTGTTGTGCGTGGGTTCATGAATATGGGCACCTTGCCGCCTGAGTGATCAATAAAGAAAGGCGGTTCACTCCCCTTGCCAGACAACCTGTGAACTTCCCAGACCTCGTCGTTGACCTTTTTCTGTATGCCCTCGGAAGCCGTTTGCACAACTTCCTTCTTGCTCAACCATACCGCAATGACAGGTAGATTCCCGTGGCCTGGGAGATGGGCCTCCTGGGAGCTGTAGGTGTCGTGCAGAATATCAAAAACGATGTGAGTCCTCGAGCCCCATCTCTCCTCCACCAGCAGTCTCGGAACGCCCCACTGGGTAATGATGTTCTCCTTCTTGATCAGCTCCACCGCAATCCGAACAGCCTCTTCGGCCGACTCGCAAACTTGAGGCCAATGACTACTCTTTGCAGAGACACTCAGGAAAACTCGTCTTGCGGCCATTAGGTAGGTACTCGCGGAGTTGATCCACTTCCTGTGCACAAAGCTAATTCACAAAATAATGTGTTAAGAGTGGGTGATGTAGCGGAGGAATAAAATGGGAAAGCGAATTGGCTAAGGCAGGCTCAGGTAGGGACGTCATGGTTGGGAGGGGCCCGATGCTTATGTAAGTGTCTATTGAGGCTCTGATGGGCCCGCCAAAACTACCATACAGGGCGCATATTACGCCTCCCCGTCAAGACATGCACCCACTGCAAAAAGGGCGGGGAGTTCAGCAGTATTAACTTGAATCCAGCAAACTCAATTTCAAAGTCAACTTTCAGGAGTCACGCTCAAGTGACAAAGTACCAGTTGACATCAAATTACCTAGGTATTTTCAAGGACAGAATTTCTGTAGCTGTAGGCTTGCAGTGTGAGTGAATTACTCTACCAAGACCCCCCCTGCCTCTGTCATGGGTTGCCAGAATGGTCACTGGCTAGGGTAACCGGGATCTCAAGACAAGGGGCAACTAGGTAGGTATACAGGGGCGACAGAAACGCCCACAGATATCACAATCCATGAGTGAAAGACACAAAAATGCATAAAAATGCACAGAAATACCGAGAGATGTCACCCTCCATCATGAGGGCCAGGGGCACAGAAATACACAGAAATGCACAAGAATGCCCAAGGATGTCACCCTCCATTAGGCCACCCTCCTTCATGGGGTAGGGGCACAGAAATACACAAAAATACACAGAAATGCACAAGAATGCCCAAAGATGCCCAAGGATGTCACCCTCCACATGAGGGCATCATCCATCATAAGGGCAGGGGCACAGAAATGCACAGAAATGCACAGAAATGCACAGAAATGCACAGAAATGCACAGAAATGCACAGAAATGTCCAAAGATGTCACATAGGCATGGAGACATAGAAGCACCCTGCGTCATCGGCTTTGGACGACAGAATAGTGGCAATCCTTGCATTAACCTCTCAGACCAACATCACAAATGGATCACACAACAAGAACTCTTTTTGGAATGTAATAACCACACATGACAGGGTGATCCATGTTGTAGCAAGCTACTGACTGATTGGACACAGAACAGAGAAGACACAGAGTGCTCTAATTAGCCATGTGAATTGTGTCATGGACTGCTTGATCATGAGGGAGAGTCAAGGAGAAGGGAGAGAAGAAATCAGGAAAGTGTGCATGGATAATTACTCATCATTACAAGAGCTTTCGCGTCACAGGCGTCACAGGCTTCTCAACATTGACACACGCACGAGCAATCAGAAATGCCAAACGATCTAATTTGATAACGTACTAACACCATCAATCTCCCTCACTTCAATACACACTCCTCTCTGTATATTCTCTTCAAACTCTGCAAATATTGACTCGCAAAAACAAGTAAGATACATGTAGAATTCCGTAGCTTCGTATACACCTGAGCAGTGTTCTTTGGACTTGCCCTTTTGGAAGGATCACGTTCAAGTTAGTCGGACCCTGTCGTTGCTCCTGGGTAAGTGCGAACAGATTGCTATAAAGGATGTTTCAAGGTGGTATTGGAGGAGTTTGCATCGTTTAGATGCCCTTCTGTCTCCATGTGGGGACTAGCGACGTCAATATGTAATAGTCATAAGAATGTGGGATGAGATTTACCTGGATAGTCAGATTCCAGAAAAAGCTCTACAATTCGTGTTGTGTTGCTCCCTAAAGCAAATGTATCGGCCTCCACAAGCATATTCGCAGTAGTTGATTCGGGAACTAGCAAGGTCAGTGAAGAAAATAACAAGATGAGCCACAGTACTGACCCTGGGAGTTCTCAATGTCTGAGTCTAATTCAAGTTCCTTGTCCGGCTCATGTGCATCGGCCTCCACAAGCATATTTGCAGTAGTTGATACGGGAACTGGCAATGTTAGTAAAGAAAAAAGAAATGCCATAGTACTTACCCTGGGAGTCCTCGGAGTCAGATACGATTTCCTCGTCCGTGTCGGCCCGGGGCGTTGGTCGCTGGCTTGTCTCGTCAGTCAGACCCAGCGGCGAGCATCGGCTTGAGTTTTCGCTCAGATCCGACGACTGGCTTGAGCATGATTGGGGTCCTTGGGCCGGGGATAAGCTTCTCTCCGGATCGAAGTTTTCCAGAGGAAGCAGCCTCATTTTGAATTCTGGCCTTTCGGGCCTGTGATCTGGCGGAGGGGAAGCAAAGGTCACACAGAGGACAGAAATAAAATGATTGCTGAGAGCACATGGTCCTCGACGGAGCATCGCTCTATATGCTGTCGCTTGTGCGGCAGCGGGGAGGCGCTCCGTATCAATAAGCTGGGGCCTGCACGCACTGACTGTACCCACATTTATTTCGTGACTTTGGAACTCACGAACAGACCGCGTCGTACGACACTTGGCATGCTGCTGTGCTTGGGTCGTTTGTCAAGAAGTATCACCATGATTGGTTGAGGGAACGCGCCAAGTGTGCACAGTGCATATCGTGTGGGAGAAGTCAGAGGTACGAACACTGCGCATTCTAACAGGGGTGTCGCGTTTTGTGTTGCCTCCAATGTGTGAGACGAGATCTCAGACTTCGGCAAGCACACTCGACCAGTGCCCAACGTCGCACGACTCCTGATCATCCGCAGTATCTGAACCCTGACCGACCACTTAGAACAATGTGGCTGGTTATCAGCAATGGAGCCCCGCAATAGCAAGCGAATAGATGGGGAGGTTGGGGGTGGGGAACAGGTCAGGGCACGAGTGCGGGTCAACGCCTGATCAGTCCTCGTGGTCACTGGTGGGCAGATGCGAGGACGCGAATGCGTAAGGGACGCCTCAGAAAAGACAGTCATATGCTCACAGCTGTGTTGAATTGGTAGAAGCTCCGCAGTCCAGCCCAGCACCGGTCACCATCTTCATTCCCCAGCTGACCGGCCACACTGTTCCTCCTGGTCGACGCTTGAACGCCGAGTAGCAAAAAGCTCCGACGGTGGATCGACCGCCACCTTTGCGATCTGATTGATGCTTGAGATCGGTCCATAAATGCGGATACCATCCGAAGTCTCCTCAAATGCTGTATCCACCGGAATGTTTGGCCGAGACCCTAAGCTCTGTGGGGCTTCTGTTGAGGCGAAAGGCAAGGGCTCCTCTGAGCAGAACTGCGTTATCTCCTGCTGAGAGCCAATTCCACCGCGTTGATAATCTGAAGCGGGCCGTTTGGTCTGTGAACGGACTTGTGCTGCACTACCGTACGTTATGTCGCCTTCTGACCGAGATCTGGTTCGCGACCGCTTGATCTCGCGTGTAGCATTCAAAGTGTCGACTGCCCCTCGCTTTTGCAAACTTAGATCTCCACCGACGACTGGCGCTACGTCCTCGGGCTGCAGGGTCTCTTACCTTCCTCCGGGATTCTGCGTCCTTCGCGACTGCCAAACCCCGGTCGAGCCCATTCATCAGCTCCTTAACAGTCGTCGCATGACGGCGAGTCTCAGTTACCATTGTTTGAACGCGCTGTTCAAGTCTGCAGCCCACGTTCTTGGTCAAAAATTGTCGGACCTTCTGAAAGCAACAGCTTACTCCATACTGGGTGTTGGTTGTTCGTTTAGCGCGCGCAGGCCAGTCAAGACGCCGGACAAAGCGGTGTTGAGTGCCTTGTAATCACGGGCAAAGGACTTGAGAAATAGTACCCGTGGATCGGCAGTGAGCGGTGTTGATGAGCTGTCCATGGTTTGTAGACAAGATCGAATGCGTCGGCGACCTACTTATGGGGATCAGGCTGCGGCGCAACTTTGGTCAATTGGTTGAGATCGGCTGTTCGTGGTTCACTCGTGCCTCATCTGCGTTGCCCCCTTCCAATGCATAAGTTCTGTGTCCTAGATGAATGCCTGTGCGGCCGATGTTACATGGACAAGGTCGATCATCGGGAAAGATACATTTATTTCTGGTAGGGTCTGCTGCTGTGGCTCACTGGTCGAATCCTTTCACACTTGCCAACAGGCCGACTCGCTCGCTGGGAGCGGCTGCTTGGAATGTCACGGAACCCTTTTTGCAGAGGACACGAGCAGACACGAGATGGTTCAATTCTTTCCTCATTCTTTCCTCACGATCACTCGGCCATGAGCCAACGCGCATCCGCAGTCATTAGAGCTGCTCACGTGCTTGTGAAGCTGGGGCGCAACAATGTGGCTGTGAAGCGCCATACTCGCGCCGGCAGGCTCTCAACGTGGAATTCGTCGCTCAAGCACTGCCTAGGCTATCGCATGGTTGCCAATCTGCATTGCAGGTTATGAGTGTTCAATTGGACGCCCACAGTATTTCCAGCGGAGACCTTATTATTGATCCCTTTGATGACGATGTTTCATTCATCAGAGGATAGACAAGCCGGCGGTCCACGGCGCAGGAATGGAGGCGTTTGGCTTATGTAAGCAGTGATTGAGGCGCACATGGCATCTACCTTCTACATACTACAAGGCTGTGAGGAGCCTCTTGATGGGGAGCGGGCTTGTGTCATATCCCAATAGAAACACTGCTCCAGGGTTTTCCGTCGGGTATAAGGGTTGGTCTCTGCTATTTAGATACAATCTACATCCACATGTGTTAGAGAGGGCTCGTCCAATTTTGTCCTGTCTTCATCGGGTAGTCCAATTTCTTCGGTTTGGGGGAGGGGACAGGGCCGTTATCCCACTGCCTTCATCGTGCTGCAAATTGATTCCCGAAAACAACAAAGTCAGCGAATCCATAGACTCCATGCCCTCGTCATGCGACTGTTCGGTGGACGCGTCTGAAAACAACGTGCCGGATGAATCCTGGTCCTCGTCACGCGGCTCCTCGATCGGAGTCGCAGGTGGCGTCAAGGGGAACTTCCTGTCACCCTGCAAATCGATATCCCGAATCAAAAAATCCAGCAAGGCCATGCCTTCGTCATGCGTCTGTTCGTTTAATGTGTCTGAAAACAACGCGCTGGATGTATCCAGGTGTTCGCCCTGCGCCTCCTCACTGGTGGCTGCAGATGGCGGCAAGAGGATCCAACTCTCGTTATACTGTGAATTGCCCTCTGACAGGCACTCCATGGCTTCGTCATACAGCTGCTCGATTGGCACGTCTGAAATCGTGCCCGATGAATCCATGTCGTCGTCACACAGCTCCTCGTTGGCGGTGGCAGGAGGCGACGAGAATTACGCGTTCTCGTCACTTGCAAAATTGAATTGTTGCGGTGATAATCTTCATAACGTTGGTCAACTTAAAGGTATTGAATATGTTGCCTGGCTGTGTGTCTTCTCTGGGTAAATAGATGGGGCGCGAGGAGCTCAACATGAGTTTCAATAGGACCTAGAGGTCTTATATCTTGCCCAAATTGACAAGCTCTAACCCGCGATGGGTCTTGGCCGGCTGATTCCTCAATCGTTTCCGTCAACGACCTGATGAGTTCGCTGAGCTCCTCCTGTTGCGTTCTACACCCTGCCTCGGTCCACCGCCTGCTCTGACGACCCGTCTCGTTGCTTTTTCTGTCTTTCAAAGAGAGGAAGAATTGTAAGACTTCAGGGGGGGCATCCGTCAGATCTTCCTCGTCGACATATACGCCTCTCTCGGCAAGCTTGAAATGCATTTCAATCTAGCAGATGAATACCACGACGACTGAGGAAGAAAATGAAAGTGCACAATCGTAGCGAACGACAGAAATGCGGTCGGGATGTGGATCCCCTGGGCGATACGCTAGTTCGGTTACATTGCAGCCCAACGAGAGACAGGCGACAAATGACAAGCGCCGAAAACACGAGTACAGGATTCCGAATCATTTTAGTGAAGGATATCCCCAAGTGCACGGGCCAAGAATTACCCATGGGTAATTCTTGGTCCGTGCTCATCTTGCAAGGATGTAAAATCCCCGGGGCCGTCACCCCGACCCACATGTCGCGTGCCGTGCGGGGCTGGGAAAGGCGAGTCTTTCGGGCAGGTTGACAGAAAATTTCCCTCACACCTATACCCAGACCGGGCCAGATACTTTTCAAACAACTGCAGGTTCATCTCCGTTGAATGCCTAGGATCATGACACCAGCCGCCATCAGATTCAGGCTCATCTTCCGTGTGCCGCTATCTGGGGCCGAGGCATGCAAGAAGGCCATCTTTGCGGCGGGGGCAGGTCGCTATCCCGGCCCAGGTCAATATACCGAATGCTGCTTTTCCAGCACCGGAACTGGCCAATTCCGCCCGGGAGACACGGCGAACCCCCATATCGGTTCGGTGGGCAAGATTGAGGAGGTGTCTGAGATGCGAATCGAAACCGTGTGCGTTGGGGAGGATGTTGCTAGGAAGGCGGTTGAGGCGCTGAAGGAGCGAGTCTTATCTCTATTTTTATTTGGTTCGCTCTGGTGTCACTAACGGTGTTCATAGAGCTCACCCATACGAAGAGCCGGCTTACGAGGTGATCAAGCTGGAGGACTTTTGAAGCGGTAGACCTCAAGGACTTGATCATCGTCCCATGTGCTAGCTCGGTTTACTGTTTGGAAGATCACGAAATCATGGATTTGGTGGCAAGCGGACCATGAATTCCAACACTCGTTTACTCAGGAGCTATTTAACATGTGTTTGCTTCCAACCTCTCTCGTATTTGTATAAAAGAACGATTATCATTGTCTTGGTCGATTCTCGCGCATGGCATCGTCCGCGAGCCTGGAGTTGATCTTTACTATAACATAGAGAGACAACACCGCATGAAAAGTGATGACAATAGCAATACAACCAGCTTTGGCAGTCATAGCCACCGTTTCCCGCACGCTATAAGGCTGGAAGTACGTGAGACTTAGGCCCCCAACGAACACAGCATATGCTGTAAGGCCGAACCTGGCCTGCAACTCCTTCGGCACCTCTCCTATATAGCTTTAGTATCATACTCATTTCTGCGAGCTGTTGGTTTGCTTGCGTCGGTGAGCTTTCAGTATGTCGTACTGTGCTTGGGTGATCTTCTTGGCCTGCAACAGGTCCCCCAAAGTCTTCGAGCCGACGACCCAGGCATCTCCTTCCTCCGTGTTAGTCGGGTTCCGGCGCAGAACCTCGAGAAGGAAATCTTGAACGTCGCATAGTGCGTCGATTATTGCGTCCATGGTGCTACGAGGTTTTGAGTAAAGTTGTGAGAGAATCAAGAAGAGGATAGAATTGATGGAGATGATGGGGTTGAGGAGCTGTTGCAGATGAGGTCAAATGCTTCGTCGACCTCTTTATGGACTTCGGGCTGCGGCGCAGCAGTCGAGACCGGGACAGTTCGCGGTTATGGGACAGCATCGACGCATGCCTCGTCTGCGCTGGTGCCCCTTTCCCATGCATAAGCGTGGCTCTAGATAAGTGGACATGCGGCCTATGCTACATGGACAAGGTCGTGAATCGATCAGGCAATGTACTCTTCGTTTCGTCCGGCAGGGTCGTCTGTAGGAAGCTTGCCAACCAAGGCAACTCCTCTTGGAGCGGCTTACCTGACGTGTCATGAAAGCATGAAGGGTGGTATTACACAGTACATTAGCAGACGTGAGATGACCATCCGAACGCTCGTTTATTCAGGTGTCGATATTTGCTATGATAATCTCCAGTGTAGCGGGCAGGAATTAAGAAGTCCGACTCGGGCGACAGGAACTATTCTCGTCACCGTTGCCCACCCGCGAATTGGGTAACCAGAGATCATACACCACGAAAAGCCTCAAAGCGATTGGCTTGCATGATTGTGGTACTGCGCTGCTGCTCACTACGACACCTTGTAATCCATCCCCGGACCTCGAATTCCGTAGAAGTTCCTTGAGTCTAGCGTGTGGAATGTAGAGGGCATACAGCTTGTCCCCTCTAGCACACCCGCGTAGGCTGTCCGGAACATTGCCTGACCCCTTCGTCAGCATCGTAGCATTCTATATGATTGCTGATTTACTTGCGTGGGTGGGCAGTCAGAGCCTGTTTGTCAAGTTCAGTGATGGAGGCCTGCTGTTTCAGCTCGTGTATTTCTTCTGAATCAATGAGAGGCGGATGTTCAGGGCGCTCTGCGTTGTCCTGGTTCTCTCTGAAACCTTCGTGAAGAATTTCCGCACGGCTGCTCGGTTCCTCAAGGTCCCTGTCAAGGCAAGGCAAGCCAGAATGTCCAGGGCGCCCCGCGTTGGTGCGTCCTTCGGTGAGAGCTTCATGATCTTCTTCAAGGATGTCCATGATGTCGAGATGTCTAAATTCAAGAAGCGAGAGCTTGACGGACGACATTGCTGAGGTCTACTGCCTTTTCAAGGTACGGCATCGACCACCTCGTGCAACACAGTGATGGGCATTGGGCGCGGCGCAACAGTGAGATCGGGCTCCTGGGGCGATCCGGACGTGGCGGTTTGCAGGGCAGCACCGTGAACCCGTGCCGTATCTGCGCTGGCGCTCATCTCTCGTGCATAAGTCACACCTTGACGGCCACTGCCCTGCTGCTGCATGCAAGACTGGGCATTCAAGATAAGCGGGCCTTTGGAGCATAAACTCTCATGCACGGCACTCTCTGCAGGGCGGCCCAAGGTTACAGCTGGAGATCCCTTACTCTATTTGCTCAGTAGACCAAGTCTGGTTGAGCAGGTAGTGGGATCGTTCTCGCAATCTGTGCCCCTTCGTTTAGGCAAGTCTGGATGATGCCGCCATCTTCCCATGTACATAGTACTTTTGCCACAGGCCAGGTTATTACGGACGGACTGATTTATTCAGGCATGCAATGTCAAGGTCTATACAGGACAGAGGCTCCGTACAACTGATGCACATCAAACAATTTACAAATTCAACTTCATTGTTCGCTGTTCCACTATCTTTTGTCTCCATTTTGCTCAAATCAGAGGTTGTTTGAACAGTGACGGTGGAGTTGATAGTGATGTATTCGGACTGGCTTACGTCCCATGATTCATGGAAGTGTGGCAAGGTCGAATGCTGATGGGTTTCGACAACGGCGGCCCTGGAGTCTGTATTACAGACAATGGGCGGGCTGGTTCCGGCGGTTGATTAAGTACTCCCAGGGGGTATAGGTGGGCGGCTTGCAGTGGGAGCAGACCTCCCAGTTGCGGTACTCGTAATGAATGAATTGAGGCGGGCAGCGGCGGTGGGTACGGGTGTATGTTGGACACCAGACGGCGGCCTGGCCATGCCAGTGGCCACACGAGTACTCTATCTGCATATAAGGGTTAGCCCATAGTGTTCAGCTTTGAAAAGTTGGGTGCATTCATGCCTTGTTGTATTCGCACATGTTGATCACAGGGTATGGGGCGATGTGCACTTTCTCTCGATGGGTGCGGTAGAAAGAGGAAGAGTGGAAATGCAGCAGGCCTTGGTCATGCTAGTGGACGGCAATACATATGTGCTAGGTTTGCAACCTAAGAACCAGTTGTCGGCGGCAGTGATGTGATCGGGTTACTCGAGTAGCAATAGAAATCCGAGTGTTTGGGTCACAATTGATGAAAAGTAACAGCCCCTAAGCCCGAATTTCAATGGCTCGCTCGCATGCTTCGCTGTCAAGTCCGGGCTGGCGTACTAGAAATTTTGGATGGCTCATCAACACACGCGGGATATGGGTACGTCGGGCCAAAAGCATCGTAGGGCAATACGTGGCGACGTCGTTTGACGCAAATCGGGACACTCCCAAACGGTGGGAGCGGATGGTTGCAGCCCGATCAAAGTATCTCGAGACTTCGATGTTCTTGATGCACATTGCGCAGCATCAACACACTCAGGGGCAGGGGTTCTCGATGTTCTTCGCAGGGATCAGGGGATTGTAGAATCCGGCCAATGGTCCTCTCCTGGGAAATTCGGCGTTTTGCGCGCACGACAACCATGATCGCTTGCGCTGTGTTGGTTTCGTTTCGCACCCGTTCGACAAGAAGGAGTCGAGGGCCGCCCTTGAATCAGACGGTGGAAATGAACGAGGGAGCAGGGGCCACCAATTAAACAATATGGAATGAGTGTTACAGTATTAACGCAAATTGACCAAAATGTTCCAGTGCCTGAGATTCTCACGCACATGGCTCAATCTAACCTCCCAGCCAGAAAAACTGATAGGAAAACTTCTAGACGGCGTGCACCCAGCCATCAGAGACATGCCGAACACAGGAGATCCCGCCCATCCTACTGGATTCGCGCCACCTTGGCTCAAATGGGAGAGGAACCTGTGTGTGTGACTAGGAAATTGTCAGACAATGTTATTAGCGTAGCAAGAAAACCATATGCACCTTGACGCATCCGATGCGATCGTGATTTCTGACTGGGTGTTGGTTTCCCGAGTCACGCTGCAAATGACCACCGTCACTATGTGCGATTGGCTGTGCAAGATGCAGTACACTGCGCCAGATGGTGTGGTGCTCATGGTAGCAAGCTGTACTTGAAATGGTTGAGAAAAGTAAAGGCAGGAGTTTGTGCTACACATCCAGGAAGCGGATCCAAGAAGACTGCTTTTAAACCCCTAATGCGAGGGAAGCTGCTCTACTCGCGCAGACTGCAACTACCACATCGGTTCCATGAGGTCTACACCTCATCTCTTCGGGATGGTCCCAGCGCGACGTCACTTCGACCTTGTCTTTCGAGCGCTGCCTCCATTTCGAGACATTGCCCCCTGACTCGATCTTGGACACCTTCCTGATTTTCCTCGGAATGTTCTGAGTCTTTGCTCAGACGGTACCCCGTCCTGATATATTTGAGCACTCTAAGGTGATAGAGATACTTCGTGGTTCGGCACAGCAGTACAAGTGAGTCGATCATGCAAGATGGCATGGATGGTGGTTGAATCGCGCTTATCCCTGCATGAACCAGTAAGTCTTGAAAGTTGTTCAAAGCTTTGGACTCAATGAGTTTAGCGCTTCTTGGGGTGGCTGATGAGTAAGGCCGAGCGCAACTGCACGGAGTCTTGAAAGTTGTTCAATACTTCATCCTGAATAGGTTTAGCAT